TATGCTATTTATCGAATTAGCAGTAATATGCATCAAATATTAAAATAATTAATTTAGGTTTCTGTTGTGATATTTTTGGTCTCACGATTTTCACCTTATGAATGGCGCATCGAAGAGATGTCTGGTGGCGGTGGTTTCACAATTTCGAATGATTTTTCAGTTTATAATTGTTTATGGTATACACTTGCTGCATTCATGCAGCAAGGTACCGATATTGTACCGAGGTTGAAAATTAATAACAAATTTCAATGATTAAACAAATTGACGTTTAAAATCTTTTTAAGTTAATATAATCATTGATTTAAAAGATACAAATAATTACCTGATAATATGATATGTATAAAAGAAATCGTTGAAAAGCAAATTTGTAAAGCTTACATTTGCCTCAGATCAATAAGCGGTCGCCTTGCAAGCAGCGTTTGGTGGTTTTTTACGATGATTATCGTTTCATCTTATACCGCCAATTTAGCAGCATTTTTAACATTGGAAAAAATGCAAGCGCCAATTGAATCAGTAGAAGATTTAGCTAAACAGACTAAAATTAAATATGGAATACAGCAAGGTGGTTCAACAGCACAATTTTTTAAGGTAACTTTAAATAATATGAATATTTAAAAAAAAATGTATTTATTCTTATTCTTGTAAAAACTTTTGCATTTCAGCATAGTTCAGTGCAAATTTATCAACGAATGTGGCGCTATATGGAATCACAGGTAAGTTAATTGAAATAATTTCGCCAGGTAGGAATCATTTGCAGCAATCATTTATACTATTTAGTTATTTTTAATCGACCAAACAGGAAAACTATTCATATGAATCAAATTAAAGCATTTATTATTCATTTATTACTTTAATCTTTTTATTTATAATTGAGATTTCGAAATAAGTCTTTCTTTTTTTCATTGCTTGATATTAAAATGGTATAGAAAGTGATTTTGTCAGATGCCAACGGTATTTACATCAACCTATGCAGAAGGTATTGAAAGAGTAAGAAGTCATAAAGGACGATATGCTTTTTTGTTGGAAGCTACCGCAAATGAATATGCAAATACGAGGAAACCTTGTGATACGATGAAAGTTGGTAAGTTAATTTGTCATTTTCTTTTAATTCTTAAATTATCATAATGAATCAAGTTTATAAATGCGCCCTATCGTATATTCCAATCGTTAGCTAACTAATTTGTGATTTCATTTAACCTTCTTCAAATTTTACAATATATTTCAGGATCAAATTTGAATTCAGTTGGTTATGGAATTGCAACACCATTTGGTTCGCCTTACAAGTATGTTATTAAATTATAAGGAATGCTTTGATATCAAAATACTGGCTTACCTGTTATTTTCGATGTTTATGCCAGTTAGGCTAATGATATGATCTTCTTCACTCCGTAAGCTTTATTTGGTAGTTGTTAAACTGTTGATGATTCGATGATATCTAATCTTTCATTTTGTCTATTCTATCTTGCTATGTGCCACCATCTTAAACTATTTAAAATTTCTAAGTTTCTAAGCAAATGATAGTTATGGCTTGTAAAATTTTTTTTTGGAAATTCTTGATAATTTCTGGAAAAAATTTTAGGGATCATATTAATTTGGCAATTCTTGCATTGCAAGAGCGTGGCGAATTGAAAAAGCTGGAAAATAAATGGTGGTATGATCGGGGTGAATGTGATCAAGGCATTGTGGTCATTTATTGTGCTATATCAACTATTTTTGTCCCATAAATATTAAATACAAAAAGAGCTGTCAATTTTGTTAAAGCATCCCCAAAGTTTGTATCATTTTCTGAATTCGTATGCAAGAAAACAAGGTTCTTATCAATTTTTAGGATGGCAATAATGCAAGTTTAAATTTGAGCAAAGTAGCGGGGATATTTTATATACTAATGGGTGGTATGATTGTATCAATGTTAGCAGCGCTCGGTGAATTTCTCTATCGATCTCGCATTGAAGCTCGCAAAGGCAATGTTTCTTCATTACTGGGAAATCTTGCAGTAAGTTCTCTCAGATTATTTTCTATCATTCATTCATTACTTTCATTATTCATTGGGAAGAAGAATATTCATTTTCACATTTTATCTAACAATATGTTTTAGGAAAATCTTCGAGGTGCTTTTTTTATGCAAAAAAAGAAGATTCTTGAGGATGAAGAAATTTTGAGAAAAGGAACGCCGGTATTTGAAGTTTTCAAAAAGCAAAATGTTAGTTAATTCTTGTTTAATTACTTTTTACATAATTACAATAATAATTATAAAAAACTTATAGTGATAATGCATTCTTCTAAAACAACTTTCATATAAACGATGCTAACTTTCATTCTTTATGATAATTAATCATTGATTGATCTTTGCTGACAGATTAAATTAGCTAGCATTTATTTCTATAAAATATTCCGCCTGGCTTCTTTGATGGATGAAATTCTTTTGTAATTGGCGTAATTAAAAGGAAAGCATTTTTCTCATTTGTTTAAATTAATCTTTTACTTTGCAGGAAGGATCGAAATTATCACATTCAAAATCGAGTAAAGTAACCGACGAATTAATTGCTGCTCAATCACTCATTACACGTTATAATACTGCCGTTTGATAATAACTTTGATTTGTTGTATATAATAAATTATCAATTTACAATAAATATAAAATAATTGTGAATGATTGATTGAGTCTGATAACATTCTTTTGATTAATTTTGTAACTTTGACAGAATTCAAAAGCTAAAGAATTATATCAAATTTCATTGTTTTAGCGAAAAGAATCACTCGAATACTTCTTCGAATTTTCTTCAACTAAGCTAAAATCACGTAAATTCATAATTTTCACGCATTCTTCATTTTCACGTATTTATTTGCAGGAGAAAATTTGAGCATATTTGCATAAATTACCCGTAGTAATTTGTTGAAGTTAGTTATTTGTTGTCGGAGAAAAAAAGGAAATTCATTCTGTTGCATTCTTTACCACATTTTTCCTTTTCTATTTTTTTTAAGAATCAAATAAATGTCTGCAATTGAGAAATATTTACCGTTCCACTTGCCCATACTTTCCGGTTTTTCAATCCTTCCAACTTTCATTTCTACAAATAATAAAAATAGTTTCTGTTATTTGCGCTTTTCTCATCACTTCCAATAATAACATATTTTGATGGCTGTGAAAGAAATTTCAAAAAAAAGTTCAACTTTTTAAAATAGTAAACTTTAATTAATCCAATCATTAATTTATACATGAAACTAAATAACTTCAAAAATTGGGAAAGTGGCTGGAAAGATTATACATATATGGCAGAAAAAGAAACAATTGTGAATAATTTTGATAAATGGAATTGAAAAAGATGACAGCTAAATGTTTTCGAATTGTTAAATTTGCATTAATTATGATGGAAAATTGCAATTGTGTAAAATTGATCAATAAGCATTTTTTTCCTACAATATACGATATTTTGTACTAATCGATATTAATAAGATCATTCATATTTTACTGATCGATCTTTCAATGGATTTCAGTTAAATACCATTAAGGTTTCTAAACTTCTTGAAGGACTCATTTTAGTTGTTCTTTTTTCGGAGAGTTTTTGCCTTTGTATGATCTCAGTGAATTTCGTTTATTTAACGACCAATTAGCATATTTCATAAAATCCTCAATATGCTAATTTTTTGTTAAGCTTAAATTTGATATTGCTAATAATTTTAAAGCATATATAATAGCCCTAATGATTCTTTCATTGTACTGCAAATTATTTCAATCCACTTGTTATGTTTGATTTTTTTCAAACTAAGTTTGCTGAAAAGAGAAAGATTCGTTTTATTAATAAGAGAATTTAATCATATCATATCACTGGCATTATTCGTTTCAATCATACAAACAAAAGGATTCCTACCAAATGTCTCAGCTATTTGTTCACAAATTTTCTCGTTTTGTCCTTTTGAAGTTGAAAAACGAAAAATAACAAAATAGCTGGTTTAGAGTACAGAATGAAAGTTCAAGAAGGAAAGAAGGAATAAACAGAAACGAAAATGTCACTATCCCGAATAAAACAACTCTCTCTCTCTCTCCCTTCTAATTTAGGAGACATTACTGTTTCATCTCTCTAAAGGGAATAATTCTACCTACTATCATTTTCCGTTACGCCATTACCTATCCTTCAAAATTTTGAAGGTATGTAAAAATGAAGAAGAAAAAAGAATGTAGAAGATGACAGTAAGGTCATCGCTGTCATCATCATCAATTGAGAGATAGTACATAATATCATTAGAGAAAAAAGAAACGAGAGAATGTTTTTTTTAAAATTAATAAATAATTGTTAACGTTCGAGCTACTCATTCCATTAATTTCCACAAAACTTGCTTTCAATTTGTGGGACATCGGTTTGTTCTCTTTGTGCATTAGACAAAAATGGGTAAAAAAGTGGAAGGAAAGAGGATTGTTGATGTTGCAGGAGGCGGTCATTAGCAACATTATACCAAAAATATAAGCGTTTCATTTCTTTCCCGAGCAATACCATAAATGATCAAGTTGGGTGGCAACCACACTATCGCCGCGATTTCTCATTACTCTTTGCTTTGTGCCACAATGATTTCTTCCTTTCATAACCGAAATATTTTTGTATTAATTGAGAAGTTTAAGGATGGGTTATATAATTTCAAACACTTCAAATATTGTATTGAAAAATGGAATAAAAAATTTATTTTAATTTAAGCATAGCACAAATCTGTTAAGTTTATCATTTCGAAAATTTAACATTAATTGAAAAAAATTCGAAATTATTATTTGAAGTGAAAGATGATGATGATATCTTATAGGATTTTGAAATGATTACGTAGAAATTAAGTGATATTCGATTTTAATTAATAGAAAAAAATGTTAATTAAAAAAAATATTTGAGAAAATTAAACATCATTTTTAGATAGACATTCAACTTCATCAATTTAATTTGATATGAATATATACGGAAACTATCGAAATTATGTCAGTATGACTAGATGTGAATTGAATATCTTCAGGTAGCAAGATGAGCGTGAAGGTACTCGTGGGACTTGCTACAGCATGCAGTGTCTTCGTGATAATTATATCTCTAGTTGCTGTTTGCATCATTTACAACGATATTAATAACTTCTATGATGATGTTATGGATGAAATGGGAGAGTTTAAGGTTGGTATCGTCATGATTAGATTAATGAAGTTATCGGCATTGATTAAATTCGACATTCTATCATATAACTGATATATTAAATCAAACGTATACCTTAAGTCTATCAGAAAGAAGAGATAACAACTGAAACATATAAAATTACTAGAAATACTTAATTAACAGTATGCAAAACAAGGAAACGGAATTTCAGATTCGGAACAGCAAGTTAATTAATTAAAAAGTACTTCCTGAAGTATTACTTCACATATTCAAATCAAAATTTGTGCTCAGTTTTTAGATTTTTAGAATAGTTCAATTTCTAAAGTAAAAATCTATTATCGAAATAAAATGCCAATTATCATCCTTCTGTTTCATCATTTTCCTTCTTTTGCTACGAATTCTTGTTAAGTATTTGAAAATTCATAAACTCCCAAGAAATGATGAATGAAGAAGAAACTTCCGAATTTAGAAATTGATATCTTGCCAATATGAATCTAAGACTAGGTCAATTTTTCTAACAGTTCAATGAAATTTTAATTTGAGATAACTTAAAACATAGTAAATTCATTTTAATCTCATATTCTGCGCCATTACTTATTCGATTGTTTGTTTTCCTGTTATGTAACTCATTTCTATTCATTCATACATTTGCAATCGATTCAATTCCGGTGTGATCAGAATTCTCGCTTATAGACTGTAGCAGATGACACATGGCAAAGGATATTGTTATTGCACATGCATCCGTCCGGTAACACTGATGCAACTCCAACCTTTTCAAGCCTTTTTGCAAGGTTCAAACGACAATTTCAGTTTCCCGAGCGGTGTAGTAAGTTCCGATATAGTTTATCTGTAACATTTGAAATTTTGTGGCTTGAAAAAAATAAAAAAAAGAATTGATTTCAAAAACTGAAACCGACTAAGAATACGCATATTGCAGATTGTGGACCTTCTGCAGAAGGTTGCCCAACAGGTCCACCTGGACCACGCGGAGATACAGGTGAAAAAGGAACAGACGGATATCCAGGTGGAGATGGACCACGAGGTCCACCGGCTATCGTACCGATAACAACACCTATGCCACGCGAATGCATTGATTGTCCACCGGGACCAAGTGGACCAGAAGGACCACAAGGAGAAATGGGAGAAAGTGGACCACCTGGAAAAGTGGGTATGGATGGAAGACCAGGAGCACGAGGGAGACCAGGACAACAAGGACCACAAGGTGAACCTGGTAATCCAGGACCTGATGGGACACCCGGACAACCAGGTCCCCCAGGTAGAGATGGTAAACGTGGAACTGGACCACAAGGACCAAAAGGACCAACTGGATCACGTGGACCATCAGGACCTCCAGGTGAAGATGGACAAAAAGGTGCTGATGGGGAACCAGGCGAACAGGGACCACCTGGAAGGAATGGTAATGATGGCAGACCCGGTACAGATGGTAGACCGGGAACGGTAAGTTGCTACTTTTGTCAAAGCTAAGGAAAATTGATTCTTCGTTGCCTCTTTTTTTAGAAGTAACCAGTGAAAATTTTATAAGGAAATTATTCTAATTCAATTCAACTGACTTGCCTATTTTTTCTTAAAGTATATTTTCTTAAAAACAAATTCTTTTTCAAAATTTTTGAAACAAAAAAAAAAGAATCATATCTTGACATTTCAGCCTGGAGCTCAAGGTCTATCAGGCCCAGATGCCCATTACTGCCCATGTCCACCACGAAGTTCCGTGTTTCTGACAATGGCAAAGAAGGCAAAGCAAAAGTCAGCTTAATTCTCCCATCATCAGTATCATCACTATGAGCTCATCATCACCATCATCATATCATCGTCATCCCACAGCACCATCATCGAATAACATCATACATCAATTCCACATCACGCTCAATGTATCATAACGCATTACTCCATTATTCAACTTTTTTCTTGTTTATTTGTTTTTACGTAAACATCCACGTCACCGTCACTGAATGGCAGCATCAATCATTTATGTGAAGATACAAAAAATTAGCGCGAAAGTCAAGAATAAACGGTTTACCGCTCATGAATTCATTTTTATACACAAAATAAATCATGATGATTTCATGAAAACGGTTTGATAACTGATATCTTCATTTTCATCATTTTCATTTGATTTCATCCCTCAAAAATTTCATATACTATCATTGATTTCAATATGCAATTTTATCAAATATTGTACAGACATAATGTATTTGAACAACCAGGTGACTGACTTTGTGCATCCTCGCGCTAATGACCATATCATTATTATTTATTTTTGCTTAATGTGCGCTTCATGCAATCGCCTATTACCAAAACTTCAATTTCTGTCAATAAGTAGCTGCTCTAAAGAAATCCCAAAAAACGGAAAAATTTGATTACATTTTGATAAGATGAGCAAATTGTTATCCTTCATGAATAGCAAATTATCAAATATTCATTAAAATAGAAACCTTTAAATACCGTGCTGCACCTTTCTTGCATAACTTCTCCGCTCACTTTAAATCATAGCAACTTTTCTGCTCTCATATATAATTATTGCAAATCACCTGAGCAAATTTAATTGATTAATAAATTGATATAAATTCGGAAGAAAAAAATTATGCTATTTTTTATTAAAAATAAATGCCTTTCCGGAAGTGAAATATGCCATCCATTATTTGTAAAAATTCTTTCTTCAATTCCGTCTATGCAAGCATTGCTGACAGGAAAGCAAATTTAAAATGAGATGAGAGTAGGATTGATGGATGATGAAAATTCGACAAAAGATTCAAACATTTAAGCAAGTTTTATTAAACATCAAATAGCTTGTGTAAAAGCATTTCTAATGAATTTTCTTTCGCATAGATGTCATTTTTTCAACATTATAAAAGATAATCAAATGTCAGCAGAAGAATTTATAGCATTACTGACAGTCTAAAGAAAATTAAAACAAAGTTATTGAAAACAAAAAAAAACTTAATTCTCAATTAAAAATCATAAAACCAAAATGACGATAATAAGTTCTCAGTTGCATAATTTTCCGGCAGACGAAATTAAAATAAGCAGTAAGCAGATGGCCTATCATTGTCAGATGTTTTCAGTTTTAACGGCTATCGGAATTGTTAACTAATTTAGCCGGAAGGGATCAAAAAAGCATGACCACAAAGGCAATTAACATTGAATTTTCCAATGAATACAGCCGAGATGACCTCAAACTATTAATTTATAATTGGAATCTAAAAATTTGAATAGTTTGGGACTTTTTAAAGTTTGTAAAAGATTAAACTGCAAAATTATTTGGATTTATTTACTTTTTATCCGATTTGATATTTAAGGCAATGATATTTAGTGTCTAAAAGCTATTTTCAAGTGATACTATTTAGTAGAAATTAAAAAGAATGATATTACGAAAGGTTTATTTGCAGAAAGTAAAAGTGATATTTTAATAGTTAACAAAGAACAGTACAATTGGTGGACAATTATCTTTGTATTTGAATTGTAGGAAGTGTATAATAATCTGTTTCATATTGGCGATCCGGACCGGATTAGATCATGCACTGAAATGCACGGCATCGGAAACCATTTTTTAAGTACTATTTTTGGAGGCTTACTGAAATTCTATTTATTTAGATGAAGTTAGATGAAAATATAGCTAAATATGTGTAAATAAACGATAGTATAAAAAATTTATTAAATTTCAACACTAATAATTAAATTTAATTTAATATGTTGAAAATGACAGTTTATTATAAAATTAGTAAACTAATAAAATAATAACATCATAACAGTATGAAATGCTTATCAATTTCTTTATTCAAATTAAATTTCAAATTTTCCAGAACATTAAAAATATCGAAAAATAACGGCGAATAAGATAAAGTTAATATAAAAGCAATTTTTTTAAACTCTAAAATTTTCAATTACAATTGAATTTACATTTATAAATTTTAACTTTTGAAACTGAAACTATCTTATCACAGTATTGAATAGTTTTGATCGTTTTAGTGATATCGAAATTTATATAGTGATAAGAGCAAACGGAAAATGAATAATAAATTAGAATTAGAATTCGTCTATTTATTACTTTTAAAATATTGCTTTGAATTTTTGCTAATGAGTCAAAACGATTAATAATATTTTTGTGAATGTTGAAAATAAAGCATCATTTTTCTATCTATCTAATAAATATGAAGTGAACAAAAAGAGAAGAGGCTGTTTCCATAATTAAATGCATTTAAATCAATTTTATTTACTAGCTGAAAATTGCCAAGCAACATTGACTTCATGAATTGATCCGTCCAACCAGTCCTGAAAGGAAATAAGCATAAAAAGAATATGTCTGGCCTTTAATTAAAATGCTAACAGTCAATTCAGGTAGCACCTGTTTCATTAATAATGCAATTAATAAATTTACATAGAAACTGTTTTATTAATTATACAAGTCAAATCCAAGACTGAATAATTCGTTAGATGGATAAAGAAAATTGCAATTATTGCTCAACTAAATCTGCAAAACACAATAATACTATTTAATTTGAATTCCAACTTTCGATTTCTAATTTGATTATTAATGATAATACGTTTTAACATAGTGGAAATTATAGCCAATTATATTAATACTAATGATAATTTGCATATAATTTCCTTCATTCGATGTCAATAAGGATGAAAATTTCAGATTAAGTAAGAATGGAAAGGAATCTTTCTGCAAATAAGGAGAAATTTAATTCTTGTGTTGGTGAAATTGCAGAAGTAGATATAAATAATTGAAAATGAATGAAAAATTAAAATTAAGAAGGCGTAATTTCTGTTTGGCAAGAAATTCATATACTTCTTCTCGATATTTTCATGACAAAATTAGTCAGATAAATAAGTACTAAATTTTGTGGCATTAAATCGCAAAAACATGATTATCGAAAAGATAACGAAGTACCGGAAAGAGTTTAAATTTTTCACTTTCTTTCATCCGGCATAAAATAATTTAATGTGAGCTAATGAAAGGGATTCCTTTTCTCTTCTATTCAATTTATCCTGCTATTTGCATTAAAGTTTGGCGATTAGTTACGATGAAAGATCGAATACGGTACTGCAAAATATGGAATTGATATCTTTACTTCCGGATATGCAATTCATACATTTCACTAATAGATAAAATTATATTAAAAATATTTCCTGGAATAGAAAAAAAATGAAAAATGTTTCATTGATAAATATGTGAATGAATTGAAATTTACTATATGTAATATTATCGGAAAGAGTTGACAATTTAATTTTATAATTGTTTTGTTTATTTTTAAAAACAAATGGTAAGCGGTAATGCAACGAAGTAGAAAAAGTCATTAAGAAGTGAAATTAAATGATAAATTCCTTTCAGATTTAAAACAATTTCATTCAATAAACTGTCATTTATTCAATGTATTAAACAAAATCATAGCTTGAACTTCTTCTTCTGCCCATATATTGAAGGGAATATTAAAGAAGTCATAAAAATGCTGGAACATTCTGTTCATTTTAAAATAAAATCAAAATAAGTATTTAAATCATATTTTGACAAATTGATATCCTTTCAAAGGTATGCATAAAAATTAAAGAGTAAGAAGTCTAACCTTTCTTAGCTTTATTTCATATTGATCGGAAAAAGTAATAAAATTTAGGAAATTTCAAAATATAGTGAGAATATTTTATTGAGCTAAAAAATTGATTGAAAATATTTCCGTCGGCTTTCTGTGGAATTAGGAAATTACCGGAACAATTATTCGTGCAAGGTACAACAACTGGCCAAATGTTTTTAGAATTGATTCATATTAAGCATATTTAGTTTCGGAATAGTACCATTGAAATAATTGAAACTTTTGGTTGCCTTACAGATATTGACTATATTATATATTTCTGTGATATATTGAATATGGAGCTTTTGGTAAGTTAAATAAAGATTATACATGAGGTAGTAATTGCTAATAACAAGCATGAATAGCGATAATTATCATCAAATATCAGCGGAATAGATACCGATAATAGTCATTATCATTAATTTCATTTCTACTTTCATATAGTGCTCTTTCAGAGGGTATATTTCAAGCATCAATCAGCAGAATAGATATCGATAATAGTCATTATCACTAATTTCATTTCCACTTCCATGTAGTGTTGCTTCAGAGGGTAAATTTGAAGGAAATTTTAAAAATTTAAATGAAAATGTTTCTTTCAGATATAATTGTATGTAAAGAAAAAATTCAGCAAATTTAGAAAAAAAATGGAAATAAATGAGCCGTCGAAAGATTGGAAAATTTTACTTTCTCAAGAAATTCCTAAGAAATGAAAGAGAGGGAGAGAGAGAGAGAGAGACTGGACGACGGCTTTAATATTAATTAATTCATTTTTAAAAAAGTACATTACTTCGTTTTTGTCGTATTTGCATGATATTATAGCCAAAGTGATAATTATCGGTTCAATGCTTCCAATTAAACATTTCTTTGTATGCGAGAATACAATCAATCATACAACAGCTGGAAGTATTATATTTCGGAATTTAGCAATAAGTAATGTAATCTTTGAAGATGCATATCTTGTCGTTCCATCTGATTGCTTTGCTTTGTTGGCTTAAAAGCTGCAAGCATTCAACCCAATTAATTCAAATTTGGAATTTAAATTAAAAAATTTAATGAATTCTAGAATTTTCATTAAAAAATTGATCGTTTTCTTAATCAATGATTCTAAAATAGATTTAATAACTACGAAAGCATTTCATAATACAAAAGTTTTGACTATTTCCTACAGTATGCTAAAAAGATAATGCCAGTTAAATTGTTTGATATAAACGCTCGTAGAGAAGCTGAATGGTTTACTGAAATAGAAAAAAGGTATGGAATTAATAACACAAAAATTGGAAATTGTAGAAACAGCCATTAATAAAATTATTGCTAAAGCTTTCATGAATTTGAGGAAATTAAAAGTTTGAAAATTTCCCGATGCCGAATAGATGTGATCGAAAAGAAATACATTTCAAGGATTTCAATTAAACGAAATAGCAAATTACTATATTATCTATAAGCTTCTTTTGATATATTACCGGTGAATTTATTTTCGTAGTAGGCATGCAATCTTACTTTTACAGACAGTATGGCCTTTCAAGAGGCCAAAGTAAAAACGATTCATTTTTCTCGCTATCATGCAAAATTGCAAGCTAACAATTTGATTTCAGTGAAAACAAAAATCTATTGGTGTGGAGAACAATCACTTCTAGAAGCGAAGATGAAAAACTTATTTACATCCACATTATTTTTCAAAAAATTGATTTTTAATTTTGATAGTCAAATTCGAAATTTAAATTTCAAATTCGCCAAACTCACATAAATAGGTCAGCACAGGACATATCTCACACCATCGCTGTATATTTGTTGGGATATTGCGCTAAATTCTTAATTAAAAAAAGTGATAAATTTTTTGCATTAATTTTTTCATAGCTCAGAATGTTTCATTCCTTCGAAATAATTATTAATTTATGACTTTAGCGCTTAATATTCTCTCTTTTTAATTTCAATGATACAATTTATTTGGATTAAATTTCAACAAAATCTTTAAAAACTTTGAGATATTCAAGTAAAAAGCTTTTATAATAAGTTAAGAAGGTATTCATTACCGGAACGGAAATAGTATTCAGCACATTCGACGGCGTCTGTTGTAGATTGTGTCATTTTTTTGCCAAATACTTTTTTACAAATTCAAAAGTACATTCCGAGATTATTTCCATTTCTAAAACAATGTATTCCATTGCAATGTGATGCATTGCGATACAAACAGTTTACTTTTTGACAAATATGTATCCTTAACCTTGCTCTGATATTTCTAAGCTAATCAATGCTCAAAACAGGAAATTTGTCGCCAGCTACCGGAATGAACGTCTGACGGCGTCTACATAGATTATATCATTTTCTTGCCAAATGCTTTTGTAGAAATTCAAAAACCGATCATCGGTGGCTTGAAACGTTAATTATTGACTTAGCTGAGAATGATAAAATCTCTTTCCAAACTGATGCTTTGAGAACTATAAAAACACCTATTAATTTACAAATTTTTGAAATTTTTCATACAAAAACTGTATAAGCTTTTTTTGGGCTTAAAATGGAATAAATTGGATTAATTACAACACAAATTATGTTAATAGAAAGTTAAAGTTTCGTCAGCTTTTAACTTTCCTCTTTTACTCTTAGACATAGCACTATCAACTACGCAGGATTTCATACTATCAGTAATAGCTCCGAGAAGATACTATATGTGAAAAGATCTAATTTTCTATATGTATTTGATTTTTGGTAATATTTGAATGGTACGATACTTGTGGAAGTGTTCGTAAAATTTGCCGCGATACCTTCAAGGTCATTTGTTAATTTAATTTGTTATGCATCGTATACTTAATAATTATCACATTATCGCCTTTGGCAAAAATAATTTTTCAAGTGCAGAAATTTCAATTCTTGCAATCCTTGTACTTACTCATTTACTGGTAAACAACTTTTTAACTTTACACAATAATTTCCGCAATTTACTTACTCATTCCGATCATGAATTCCATAATTGTGTTAGTTAGAAGTTATTGGAAAACATCGCTGATATAAATATAAATGAAACTCATTACTATATTTTAAGATAGTGGACTGCGCTTAATTTGAAAGAAAAAAACAGGAATTTCAGTTAAAAAAATCAATCAGAAATAACCTTTTAAGCTTTCGAGAGAAATTTTCCAGTTTTTTTTTTAATTATAAAAACAAAAGAACCTGTTGATCGAAAAGAGAAAAACTTTCTTTCTTAAGAGACGCTTTCCATTTCAGTTAGTTAAATAAATTAATAGTGTTTTGGTTTGCTGTCATAAATTATGCATATCCTTCTTCTCTCATTTAATAATTTGTTCTTGTTTTTATCGGATTACAATATAGCATAGGCTTGAGATTAATTCCTTTGAATTTTATTAGATATTCCTATTAGATATTCTATTAGATATTAGATATTCCATATTAGAAATTCCTTTATTGGATATTTTATCCCAAGGTTATCCAATTAGTTTATCACATTTCATTTCGCTTGTTATTTACAAATGCTAACGCTGATTATACATTAGCTTTGTTGAAAAATGATATACGCTGATATATCATTTTATTTAATCATAAGATATCATTATATTATCATACTATTATCATTGGAGTATTTTTTCTTCATTATATTTATACAAATAAATTTGCTAAGTAAATTTTTGAAAATTTCTGAAGAAATTCTTACAAAAAAAAGTCGAAATTTACACTTTATGTTTTTTTTCCGTTTCGAATTAACAATTCATAGAGAAATTAGTAATATTGGAGGACCCTTTTTTCATCGGAAAAATTTCCGAGAACTTTTTTTCTTCGTTTCATGAAATGTTGTGTTGGAGTGTGTCAACAATATACATTCATTATTTGTTGATTACAACAAACTGATACATACATACATACATTTCTTTGTTAGACAAGAAAAGAAGGAAAAAAAGAGTAAAAAAATTTTTTGGTCAAAATGAGAAAAATAGGAAGAGAAAAAAACAACTCCTAAAATGTTGATTGATGAGAGCAGTATCATATTTATATTAGAATTCCCGGTCAGGTTTTAAATTTTAACTACGCGGTACTTAAAGTATTATTTATTACCGAACACGTTCATTTTAGGATCTTTAAAATTATATTCCATATTTTTAATAGTATTATAAATAAAATATAAATTTGCTTACTATTCAATCTGTCAAGTAGTGTGTGTGTATCTTTGATAGCAATTCTAAAAATAGTTTCTCGTTTTTTTGGTATTTCATTTTGATTTTTTTTTAATTAAGGTAATCACTATAATTTTTTGATATTTAATTCACTATACTGAATGGTAGTAAAATGATGTGAAAATTCGAGCATTTCAGATTCATTATTTTCGATCTATTTTTATTGTTTAGGGTCAAAGTTAATCTTCTAAATGGGTTAGCCTAATAATTGCTTTTTTTATTCATTTGCTCAAACATCACTTTGTAATGCAAAAAGCAAAAATAAATTCGATTCAATTTCTAATTTCATTATCGATGATACAATTATTAATGATTCATTAATTATCAAATCTAAAAAAGTTTATGAGAATTTGATTTTTCTCCAAACTTTCTAATGGTTAATGAAGCGCCATTTTTCAATTAAAACGCATCATAACTCGTCATTGAACTGATAAAGTTAATTAGTAGGCAAATAAGGTAAAGAAACATTTCAGGTGTTAAGAAATAATACAGCCATCAGCGCCAGCTGCAAATTTACACAACGATGGCAGAAAAAGTGCTTATAGCGCTTGGAATGGCGACTAGTGCATTTATCATGGGTATATCAGTGATCGCTGTGATTTTCCTCTTCAGTGATATCAATGATCTGTATAGTGGTGTCATCGTTGAAATGAATGATTTTAAGGTGCCTTCCAGTTTGTAATTTGATTTCAACTGGAATTAGAGCACTGATATTGTTTATCTAATATTGCTATTTACTTTTTCGCGCATAGAAGCCAATGCGGAAACATGTCTAATATCATCAGAAACACAAAAATCAACTATGACCCGGTTCAATTCAGTTCAATTCATAATATCAAATCATTTTATTCAGTTACTGATTTATTCGTTTCATTCAGTTGACTGATTTATTATAGTCAATTCGAGAAAAAAACTTATCATATTCAGCTCAAGATTTGTCATACTAAAGTAATCATTGCATTTCCTATAACAGGAAATAGCAGACGATACATGGACCAAAATTCTATCTATCCGATCAAATGAGTTCCAGAAGGGAAATGCAAACTATCGCGATTTTGAGACTATTGTTTTGCGGGCCAAACGACAGTATCCATCACATTGTCGTCAGTTTACCTTAAAAAAATCGGTGGAAAAAAATCAACAAAAATCGAATATGATAATTCTTATTTTCTAAGTGATGGAGAAGTTAATGTATTGGAATTCCGAGCAAAACCAAATAAAAAAAAATCTCCTTGGATTTCAGAATGTGGCAAAAGAGTTAGTCAATGCCCAGAAGGTCCTTCTGGTCCTCAAGGTGATCCAGGATTGAAAGGTCTTGATGGGCCCGATGGTGATGATGGACGTCCAGGTGTAAATGGTGTTGCACTTTTAGCTACCTTCCATATTCCTGGTGGTTGCATTGATTGTCCACCAGGACCACGAGGACCGCCTGGTCCTCCTGGCCTCCCGGGAGATATGGGTGAACAAGGTAGTTGCGCGAAAAAAGGACCAGATGGTAAACGTGGACCATGTGGAAAAACCGGACTCCCAGGCGCACCAGGTAATCAAGGACCAGATGGTCCTCCTGGTAAACCTGGTCGACCTGGAAAAGATGGTAAGCGAGGTTATGGACCACCTGGATCAAAAGGTCCTAAAGGACAACGAGGTCCGGCTGGTGAACCTGGAACAGATGGTGCAAAAGGAGATGATGGAGAACCTGGTGAACAAGGACAACAAGGTGCAGCTGGGAAAGATGGAAAAGCTGGCAAAGATGGCAAAGCCGGAATGGTATATCATTTTAACAATGAAAGAAAAATTATAACTTTTTTTATGAATGCTTCAAAATAATGGAGAATAGCCAAATAAATGTAACTGATAAACTGTTTCAGCCAGGTAGTCCAGGTATACCAGGACCAGATGCTCATTACTGCCCATGTCCACAACATGGAAACAATGGAAGCTACAAAAATCGTAAAGCGCTGTAAAACGAAATTATTCACACCATTACTCTTATCACTGTCCCTGTCATTATTTGATGCTGCCATTACATTGATATGACAATAAAGATGATGTTGATAATGATAACTTATCTGATGTTTTAATAATTTAGAGAAAATGCAAGACTGTACAAAAATGAATTTTCTCGTATTTGTTGTTTCTATGGCCATGGCTAGTCACATTTTCTATTAGTGGCGGGATATGTGGTAATTATCGGTAATTTGATTTATAAAATTGTTTGCTTCGGTTTTATTTGACTGGTACCTACAGAAATGTCTCCAAACTTATACTGTTTTGTTGGAAGACGAAAAGTGATCGGTCATAGTAAACAAGAAACAGTGATCGGTCACTACGGGCTTAAATAATTTCAGAAAAAGGTGAGATGATGGAGCAGAGTAGAAGAGACACTACGAGGTGAAAGAAGAAATAATACTTGATCACATAAGTAACTATAAGTCCATTTTCTCAAGGTGTGTGTATGTGTGTATTTGAAGATTATGCACCACGTGTATCTTCTTATTTATAAGATGGTGAACAACTGCCATAGAATACGATGAAACTATGTATATCCCCAAATTAGATGGTATTATCGTTGTCCATCATTAATTCCAAGTCATTTTATAAGACTTTTTATGGAATAAGAATTAGAAAATTTTAATTTGTCAATAAATGCATTCCATTTTAGTTTAGTGCTGCCACTCTTGGCTTCCCTTTGGCTTCTCAAAAAATTATTTGAAAAAAAATGAAATTTATAAGCTGCAGAAATCCGGGAAAATACTGTAATCGTTCCTTTGATATCATAACGATCGCAAGAAATTTCTTCATTTTAAATTTGAAGTAGCTGCATAAGTGTATAAGTATATTGGATAAACTTCTGAGCCATCCCTTCCTTCCGAATTTTATTCTCTAACTGAACAGTCTTAAACCTTTAAAGACAAATTACGAATTACTTTTTCTTTTTCATTCCCTTCCTATGTTTTGAGGTGTCTCAATTTGATAGTATTGTATATGATGACATATCTTGAAGCATATTGAATTTTCATTTTAAATAAGCAAAACAGGTAAGTGTGGATCTGAACAAAAATAAAGACGATGATAACTATAATGTGGTAATGGTTGGAGAGGAAGACGCATCATCCTTTGATACGTTTATTTTATTCTTTCTAATTAATATTCTTTGCACAATTTAACTCTTCCAATATTAGATAATTAAAGTAGAATGCTGTCCACTTTCCTTTTCTCTTTCAAATAATAAATCAGATAGCCGGCCTCGAGATCTCTTAGTAAATCTTCATCTTTGCCGTTGTGAAGAGTACAGTCAGGAATCCAAGGATTTTCAAAACATCAAATACTGATGCAAATTGCAATTTTGCATACTCAAAATTTATGTCATCAGGATTTCAAAGTAGTTTGACGGAGAGGAAAATAAATTGTCATTGTTGTTATGCTATTGAAATTTTTTTTAGCGGAATTCTAAATTTCAAAAAAAGAAAAAAGAAAAAAAGACGTGATTGACAGGAGTTGTGATATGAAATGATCCAGATCCATTCAGGAACAACAAATTTATCATCGTAACGTCTCACTCGTTTGCAACCAGTTTCCTAAAAGATTAATTTCAGTCATAAAATCAATTTTTTTAATACTATAATTTATCTTATTGTCTAAAATTCTAGACTACGAAGACAGTTTGCTTATCAATTTCGGTATTATTCAAAGTTTGACAATAATAATTTTATACTCGTGTTGGAAGATTGAATTAATTATAGAATATTTGTGACGAGAAAAATATTTACTTTTCTTTTGTCTTTTAACTATAAAACAATCGAAATTAGAATAGCAGTTCTAACTTTCAATTTTTGTTTAACTGTGTATCATTTTAGTTTTCAAAAGAAAAAAAAGATTAAAAAAATGCGACGCATAAAAAATGTTGAGAAATGATGCCTTCTCTAATATTACTACCATTCTAATATTGCTATCGCAATTAATACAAGCAAACACTATCACTCATTATTACTACTACAATGCTACTTACTGCACATCTACACATTCTCATCATCATTTATTTTCTTCTTAAAATTATCAAATTATTCTTAAATTTTATTTCTATACAATTTTCTTTAAATAAATCATAAATTCAGGAAAAAAAACCATCAACAAATGAATTATAGTTTGATGGACTCTCATTGATGATTTCTTTATCTTAAACAATCAGCTCATATCAGTCATATCTGTTCTCATCTAATCAACATTGTTGAATTTAAAAGATATATTTAGGAATGAGTTTGATATGTAACAATTAATATTGATAAGTCTTTTAAGCTATCATAATTTCTTCCTATAAATGTTGAATTTTTTAATGTCATTTTAGATGGCAAAAACTGCAGTTTAGATAAGAAATTAATTTAAAACAAACGCATATAGACGTCATTTTGCATGTGTAAGAGAAGTCAAAAATGTTTTTGTGAATATTATCATCCCGAGATTAATTGATAGAAATATCTTTTTAATTTTTCTAAAATCACATATATGAGTATTTTACGACATTAATTGCAACTTTGTGGTAATATGAAGACCAGAATGCGCCGCAGTGTCATGCTTGAGCAAATAAATGAAATTGACTTGAAAAGTAGCTTGCGGAATTTTCGACAAATGCAAAATTCATTTTAATAGTTTGTTATTTGAACAAAATAAGAAGTCTCAAGATTTAGAGCAAAAAAATAACATTTTTAAATCATTCATCCCAGTCTAACTGTTCATATCCTTTCCACTCAATTATACCGATGTAATTTATAAATTATTAGATTTGTTAAAAATAGGAAAAAAGTGTAAGTTAAAAATGAGATAATAGAAATGCTTGGCTGATAAACACCATGAAGTGATATACTTCGAAAAATGATGATGCTAGATTAATTGTCTACCAAAAATAATCAAGAAATGATAAAAGATGGCTGAAATATGGAGGAGGCCATCCGTTGCAATTAAAGCGATTTACTTGTATATTGAAATGAATATAAGCGGATAAGGCAAGCTTGAGGGCGTTCTAAAATTCGATATCGCAGAAAAAGAATTTTAGGTGACAGTCGATGATCGATAGACAAAAATTAGCAACTTCATTCTCAATCAAACCAAAAAACTTTTTTTGCCTTAACTTCAGCAGTGCTTTTCTGAAAAAGATGAAGTGAAAATTTGGAAGATGTCATATGTTTTCTCCGCTTTACTATTTATGGATGCTTTTTAACGTTTCAAATCATTTAGACTGAAGTTTGCATACCCCATTAACTATATTGTCAACGTTTCAAACTGTGATAAGTCAAAAATTGTTCACGGAGTCCACCAAGTCCAATGGGAGATAAAGGAGAAAAGAGTTTTGATGACGAACTGGAAATGATGGTTTTAAGGGAGTAGCTGGTGTGACGCTTCTCGCCACGTATAACATTTCGGCTGGCTGCATCATTTGTCCTCCTGGACTGGTATGATCCGATGGATTGAGGGGAAATCAGAGACCAATCGGGCAAAAAGGATCAATAAGGAATCTAGGAGAGCCCGAATCGAAAGGATCATGTGGTCTGTTAAGATCGGAGAATCAGGAGCCAATAGACCTCCTGGCAAGATCCGGGCCGAACGGATGCTGGCAGTCCAGGACAAATGACACAGTCAGAGTACCAGCGTAGCAGGTCCAAAAGGATGAACTGTGCTCCTGACAGCGGGAGTAAAACGCAAAGATAGAGATGATAGTATACCTGGAGAATCAGGTGAAGCTAGTCGGCCTGGAAATGATGACAAACATGGCAAAAAAGGGCTTCCAGGACAGGTAAGCAAATCTGAACATAGTAAGGTAAACTTTTCTAACTTATACGGCCAATCTGAAAAGTTGTCACGAACAAGTACAAGAATTCATTATTTCCTTTGGTAAAAATTTCTTAACGAAAGTAGCACATCCCAAAAGAAACAGTAAATATGACGACGAGTTAAAAAAATGAATCAAATTACTCATTTTAGGCAAGTTCACAGGTATACCAGCAACAGATGCACATTACTGCTCCTGTCTAAAACATTCATAGGAAGCAGATCGGGAGTACTCATCCTCATTAACCCACTATTACCTGTCCTATTCATCGCAGAATCATGACAAAGTACACCTAACGAATTCTATATAACATTATCTCTTTATCATTCCGAGACGTTCATTATTCACTTTGATGAAAATTTCTTAACGAAATCATAAATTCTCGACATTCTCAACACCAACAGTAGCATTAAATTTAGTGTATTGAGTAGAAAGATAGTAATGTCGCACTTTCTCACATATCCCTTTTTTTTGCAGTTTTCAAATAGGATAATAAATCAACAAACTGGTGAAACTGGATCCTCAATATGTGCTTCAGGTTACTGCCAAACAATTATTTAACATGATTGAAGCAATCTACCAAAGAAGCAATCGTATTTCTTAATTATTTGAAATGCGAAAATCCAATAAACACAATGAACAATGGACAGAACGAGAACAGTTTAACAGATAAGCATCCTTATCTCTCAATTAATATATCATTAATATATTGCCGAGGATATCATAAACTGATACGTTTTTATTAAGAAACCTGTAAAAATAAACGGTGAATATAGTTCAAATAATGTGACGGTCAAATGAATACCACTTATCAATATTAAAATATGACCAAATCTGTTGTACTCAAATACTTTATTTCCTAAATTAACAGAACTGAAAACAAGAACACTCAAAATCATAAGCAATTGCAGAAGGACAAGAATATAAGTTTATCTTATAAGAGGCTAACATTCAATACACTCAATATAGGAAAACTAATTTTTATTCATATACTTCAATTACATTTGTAAGTTTCATTGGTGCGATGACTGATGCGTTTTAATTACAAATGCACCTGACAAAATTGACTTTCTTTCGGAATATTACAAATTCTGGATGTCGAGAGATCAAATATGAGAAGAATCGATGTCCCTCACGTCTTAAATTAATGACTATTGAGCCTAAACGTAATGATACACAAACAGAGTCTACTGATATAATTCTTTAATGAAAAAATCACCCGAAATTTCATCAAAATTCATTGTTAGCAATATTGGTACAATTCATGATGTTATGAATAAAAACATATTTTTTAAAGAGCGCAATTTCATTTTTCCGATTAAATGATGCGAGTTCATGATTGCAACCAGAAAGTGGAAAAAAATGAGCAGAACATGGTGGTGAAGTAAAACCAATAAAAAATTCATTCAAATTTTTGGAAAATAAAGGAGGAATTAGGGAAGAGAGAAAATGAATCACCTATGAAGAGATTTGAAATTTACTTTTCAAAAATTAATGAGAACTAAAATTTATCACATGAAAAGAATGACAGCAGTTCACAATAGCTAATTACCTAATAATGTATGCAACAACTGTGCAATGGAATTACTCACGCAGCTGACACGAAATTTTCAACATAAGCATTCGTAAAACTCCACCCTGATTTATACTGAATTTCAGATGTGAACGATGAAGGACAAATCTAAGAAAAGTAATTTTACGGATGTAGCATATTTAAACAAACATAATCCTTCAAAGTGAATTTAAAAAAGAAATCAATCATAAAAGCATAAAAGTAGCGAAATTGAAATGAATTATCTCCCACATTCCTTTTCACATTTTGACAAATCACGCATCGTAAATAGTAGAATTACCCAAAGGAATTTTGCTCAAAATATATATATGAAATCAATGATGATTTAGGTATAATTCATAAGTTACACAAAGCGAATTCGATCCCAACATTAAAATTGAACATTAATTCTCCTATTTCTCAAATTTTATTTAAAAAACAAATTAAAATAAATGAGCAATGAGTTTGGGTCGAAAATTCTCTCTCAAAAATTCCAAGATCTGGAAATCCTTGAAATCAAGATCACTATGTAAGACTGCAATACAACAAGTGTACAAAGTGAAGAATTTTCCAGAGAGAAAGTCAAGAACTGCTGCTTGTCAGACCTAAAATTTGGTTGTACACGTAATTTGAACCAGATGTCATGACCCTGAATCCTGAAAAAAATATTTTAAGAAAAAGATTCGGCAACAAATCTTATGTTAAAGATAGCAGTATACATCAAATAAATCCGATTGGTCTCTACATTACCATTAGTAAATTAAAAGAAATACTACCGATAGACTTAACGAGATTAGTGAAATGTAGTTGGTATTACAAAAGAGCGGAAGCGGGAAATGAAGGAGGAATTCAACAGAAACGCAGTAAACTGATAAAATATGGATAAAAGTATAAAAAAGTGAGCTTTCTTCGCCTTATGTTTTGCGGTTAAGTGAAAACAAAAACTCATGAATATTGCCGAAGCACGATCGAAAAAGATCGCAGAAGCTTCGAGCAGACCGTGAAGACGAATAGCGAAAAAAGGAGTAAAAAATCGCATAAAAATTCCGGAAGGAAATTGAGCAACATCAGAAAATACTTCGATATAAGTTTCTTTAATGCAACTTCTGCAAAAAAGTATATGAGAAAAATTTTCCCGTCAAGATGTAAATGCCAATCGTCCCGAAAGAAGGGACGCTTGCTGACTTTGAAATCCACATTTTTCGCATGAAGCAAAAATAAATGAAAAGACATGCAGATAAAAACAATAAGTAAAAAGGTTGCATAAGAAAGAAGGACATGGAATGTAGCACTCCATTTGCGATGTCATTTGTTGATGAAAGTTACCCATTTAACATTTATAAAGCCGCTCTATACACTAACGGCTGAACGTTGGCAAGTTTGATCAGCTTCTTCTTTTAGTGCCGTTGCTAAATTTTGTCCTGTTGGCCAATAACCAAGAGCCGAATTCAACAAATCGGCCGCGGGTAACGAGCCACCTTTCGATAGTACCTATAAAAAATAATGATAAAATTCCATTGATCAAACTTATGCAGATAGTATTCATTTTTTGCCAATTTGGCCGACAACCTGACTAATCGTTGAAAATGGATAAATTGTCCGAATATAAGCCACAAGCTAGTATGCTTTAAAATGAGATTTAAATTACAATATTTTTATGAAAACACAATTCAAACTGCCTAATAAAAGTGAAGATTTGTGAGGTGAATGGAAAAATTCGTTAAGCAATATTAACCTTTGCCCATTCAAGGCCATTCTCCCTGGAAAACGGACAGTCACGAAACCTGGTATTCCAAATCAACGAAGCTGTAGCTCTTGCTACTAGATAGGAATAATATTTTGCACCATATGGTACCAAATGTGTAAATCTGAAAGTAATGATGAATTATAAAGTTTTTCTCGCTCCCATTATGAACTCAAAAATTTCATTTGAAAGGAAAAATTACGAAATGACTTACCGATGATGCCACGCGGAATTTGTCTCTTTCTTGACATTTGGAAAAACTAACAACCAAATCGATGAATATAAATCGGCCGCTGAAACTCGACCATTCATTATACCTTCAGCATTGCCACCATGTGCTTCAAGATCAAAAAGACTGTACACGGCCTGAAAAAATGAACACGGAGAAACATATTGCAGAACCAAGACTTAAACTACCCACAGTTTCGAGCGATCAGTCTTTAGACACAAAATTTCGAATGGAAGAAACCTGTTGTAACATTTCCAAAGATGTAAAAGCGAATCGTGATGTTATGAGAGAAGCAGCGTCCTCGACACTTATTGCACGTCCGTGATTATCTTTTGCTATTTCCCGCAAAACGTCAATGTTATTAAAAAAATATTCCATCAGATTGGATGGGACTTCCGCCATATCAGTTGAACAACGAGTTCCTGGAAGATTTTGCATTAACTTAAAATAGAATAAACTTTAAAAATTGACAAATTTAAAATCTATACATAAGCAACTTTCATATTTTATTAAAATACTTTATTATAAATTATGAAAATGAAACTACCAGCAACATGCTGGTACTGCGTTCGAGCAAGCATTGAATGCATCGCATGTCCCATTTCGTGAAAAAAATTTTCAGCTTGATGGGGGCTCAAAAAAATATTCTCAATGCTTTCCAATTCTTTCGTTAACGACAATGATAAAACAACGATTGGTGTTTGGTACGACCCATCATCTAACTGAATCATACATACTTCGATTGAAATAACAATGAAAATTGATTAAGGAAAAAGCTCTTCAGGAGGTGCCTGAATGCCAGACACAACTATGCAATGGATTTCCTGAACAGGTAAAATAAATTCTCTAGGATAATACAGACAAAAAATGTCCGACAGCATATTTGAAACTTTTTATGAATTAAGGAAAACTTCTTTCTTGAACTACATTGATATAAGCGAAAACTTTGACATTTATGTATTTAATTGGCAGAAAAGAAGAAAACCTGCTTGGAGCAACGAACAGTGAAATGACAGTCGCCTGCTGTTTTCGTCTGTCGTTCTTGAATATCAATGTAAATCGTCCCCAAAAATTGGCTGCCGCCTTGAAAAACATCCTATAACAGTAACAAAAAATAGTCTAAAATTCTTTTTACTTTGTAAATATGTTGAACAAAAGAGTAAACAGTAGCCCCTTACACAAAGATCTAATAGAAGTTTTACTCGAACAGGCGGCCACATAGTATAACATTATGGTCGGTAAAGAAAAAATAAGGATGAAATCTCAAGATTAAAAAAATTATGCGAAACTCAATTTGAAAGATTAAAAAATACAAGCGCAAGCATGGTAAAAAAACTAACAATCTTAATGACATTTCCTGGCCAAACTTCTCCAGTAACAGGCATCAGAACCGAAAAAGAGACATTGTACAGTCGTTTTGTAATTAATTCGAATCCTCTTAGGAGATTACTAAACGAAAAATATCTGAAATTCGAAACATCAGTAACTGAGAAATATTATTATGTGAAATACAGGACCTCAGTTCTGCATAACTTCAATAGATTATTTACATAGACCAGTTGTATCAATTATATGCTTCACGAATCATTTGTATAGTTTAGGATATTTTTTTATCTACTGCATTTCTTTTTATTTATTTGTTTCCTTCTATTTGTCTACTTTATTTCATTATGATCAAAAACAAGTAAAACGACAAAATTTTTTCTAAATAATAGATTCAATGTTACCTGGAAAGATGCTGTAACTGACCAAAAGCATTCTCACGATATAGCATACAAAGATATGTTAAATCAGATTCGCACAAATGTTCTCGCTTCGATTCAACCTGAGCTAAAACATCAGCCAGCACGGCTAACTCCTGTTCGGCTGATGGTTGACATGACTGCAGAACAAACGAAAATGTTTTTGACATTTCATGGTTAAACAAATAAATAAATGCAGCAAGTCTTTTGACAAAGTGTGACGAAAATGATAATTAATAACTAAAGCTTATCCAACCATAATTCTCTGTAACCATTTAGAAAAATAATTGAAGTAAAAGTGGCCCCTCAATAATTCTTTATCATTTAGCAATTTCTTTTTATCGATGATCAATTTTCAATATCCAAAATTTCCAGTAGCGTTCAACTCTGACCTATCAGCTACTAAAATAGACTTACTCTAATGACTTCAATCAAGAAGTCATAAGCGTTTTCGTATGAACCGAGCAACGAAGTTTGTTGAGCGCGATGAGCATAAGACTGGTAACCAGTAAGTCGAGCCAACAAATGTCGACAAGTAATCAGATGGCGTAAACGCTTCTCCTACAAAATTCTCACTCATTTTATCATCATTTACATGGATCCCAACCAATCAAAAACGTTTGGTTTCAGGCTTCAATGTACAAATGAAATCTAAATTCGGTAGCTTTATGAAACCATGGCTAATCATCGGCCACTAAGAATTTAATCAACAGATAAATGCAACGGAAAGATTCAAGATATTGATACTCGAGTTTCAATCAGGTAGATCAGAATATGCAACACATGCAGCTACGGCATTGTCAGATGACATACTGCATTGAGACTAACATTAACGATGAATTATATCAACTGAAGAAGATCAAATGCAGTAGAAAATTATTGTACTTGCTCTTCATTGTATGAGTAATAAGTAGCATAAGACCATTGTCTGGTAGTACGGTTAACTGCAAGTGCATTTGGACTATAAAGATGGCGTTTCACTCCATACATCTTACTATAAAATGGTGAAACCGTAACAGGTAGCTCGGCACCATGCGTAAATTGTGAACCAACCATGAAGATCTCCTTGCTAAGCCTTACGTATTCAGATTTCTAAAAAAAAGAATTTAATAACACATCATAATATATACAGCATGCGTTGTTTATCAATTAATAAACAAAGTTTTTGCAGAATGGTATTCACGTGTACATTTTCTTGCAGTCTGGAGCAAGCTCCACAACATTTAGAAGACTTTTATTGTATCCACAACGATAAGATTAGAGACTCATAGAGGGCGCTATACCTTTCATTAAAAAGCTTAACCTATACAAAGAAGTTCAGAGAGATATACAATCGAGTGATTTTATAGTAAAATGACCCCTGTAACATATGTTTCAAAAAATTTCATGCATTTGGATCCTTACTTGAGTTTCAGCTAAACTGACGCCAGCTTGCTCAAAATCATCGAGGAATAACAAAGCTGTGCGTTTATCAATGTCTGTTAAAGAACTATTTTCTGCTTCTATCGAGTCTTTCAGTGCTTTGTACAAATCAGATCTGGTATTTAAACTGAAAACATCAAATCGTAATTATAATTCGAAATAAATGAACTGGAGAAAAGGTAAAAAACAAAGGAAATAAAGCTTTTTGAAGTAATAATAGGTAATACTTTTTTAAGTAATATCTTTTTCAAGTAATACCTTTCTACAAGTTCCGTGAAATCCTTCATGCTTTCTTGCGCTGCTGCGCTAAATTCTTCAACCGAATGCATGTTCCGAACGCACTCAGCCTGAAAATGTGCAAGCTAAAGAAATTTATCTCATAAAATTAACATATTTATTTGCCATTATTTTCATTTTTCTTCTAGCAATGTTAAGAAATAACAGTAACTCCCAGCTTTTTCACTGTGCTCTAGTTTTGTTTTAACAGCTTAAAAGGTCTACGTGTATGCGTATATACAAAACTTGTGGACATTTGTAATATAAATTCCAGCATATGAATAAAATGTATTCCAATAAGGAAGGCATAAAACCCATTAACTGGATACAGCCAGTCAAGATTTATATGCATATCAAAGAAGAATATAGTCAATATCTCAATATTTTAACTGCACAATTCCGTTTATAAATTATATTTTAATACAGAAAATCGAAGATGAAGGTAAACAACAATACTCACCAAATCTGCAGCGCTACATATTTCATTTGATAAATCATCAAAAACTTCAACAACTTTCTTATCACACTTTCGATTGACAATCTACAAAAATGTTTTGCAATTAATAAAACGTTGTCTTTCGCTATGTAAGTTTTCTAGCAAGCCACTGTTATTTCGGAACTGTTATTTCGGAACTGTTGTACAAAGATGCTCGACAGCGGCTAATGGTACTGGCCGTCAAATTAATTGATTAAACTGATAATTAAGCTATCAGCTGCTAACATGAAAATATCAGTAAGTAACGAAGAGACTATTGAATTTTTTAGTTTTAACCCAAAATGCATCAAATAAATTAAGGAAACAGGGAATGCGTAATGACTATTGCAAAATAACAAGGATCAAATAATTCAGCGATTTTGAGAATTCCTCAATTTGAGAACAAAATTTCAAAGATGATCAGACAAAAATTTTACCTTGTCAACCAATTCAAATGATCGTTTCCTGACTTTTTCATTCAGTAATTTGAAGCCGGATGGGTGCTTTAGCAATTCCTCACCAAAGAGTCCCTTAAATGAATTAGCTCAAGCGTCCTTAAGCGGAAAAGTCTTAATTAACAAGTTTTTTTAAAGAACTTTCCAAACCTTGAAAAATGTTCAACATGAGATCTGTTAAACATGGCTCACTGTACCCGAAGTTCACTTTTGCTTCTCCTTTTTTCCTTTACTCTCCTTATGTCAATCACTAAATATTAACGAATAAATAAATAACTCACTAATTTACACCACTATTAAAATTTAAACAAACCGTAATATAAAACTAAATTTCCATAAACTAAAGACCTTTTCGGAAGTACAATTACCCAGCTGTATGTATCGTAACGAATTTCGCAAACTAGAAGAGCAAGATTTTAAAACTGCAGTCCATGACATTGTTCGCTTGTCCCCTGGAATTACAAAATTACATAGAATCCAGTTCCACCCAAGAACGTTTGTTCCTCTGACAGTACAGGAACTGTGTAGGTGTTCCTGAACACGTTGAAAATTTCACGAATAAACTAGTCACATACTAATATCAAGAATAATGCCTCAGTTAGAAGTCGTTTTGCTAAAGTATCCGTAAAAGTTAAAATCCATCGTAACTGACAAAGCTTGACAATAAGAAATAAATGAAACTTTGACGGTTTTAATCGTGAAATTTCACAGATTCTATTTTATATCCAACTTAACTCACAGTTTATTACCAATAAAGCAATTATAAACGAAATTTCACAACAAAAAATGTTAAAAAATAAAAATAACAATATACAGTTATCGACAACAGAGTACATACAGTTGCTAACCGAAGCCGCATAGTAGCTCAGTTTTTCAAGTTTGCATTCACAAATAAATTCATCGATAAAATATCACCAAGTCAACAAAATTATTGCAAAAAATTTCTGCACATGAATATGCAAAAAAAACCGGTAGAAGTCCCAAATTTTAGGGTTTTTATGCGTTTAATGAAAGCAAGATTTGAAATAATCCAGCAAATCCTTCAGTTATATCACGCTAGTCGGGTGATCCCAGAAAGCTAGAAAGAGAATAAATCCATAAAGGATGCAAGAAAGGATGACTATTATGTCAACAACAAAAACCTTCTAAACACATTAATTACAATATTTTCTCTGCAAAAAAAGCTTACTGATGTTATTGCAAATAACTAAATTCAGCTCTCCTATAGACAACTCTGAAAGCTAAAAATTAGAAGCAGCAAGAACATCCTGTAATAATTTCACCGTTACTGTAAAATTTTAATGCTGTATTATCACCAGAAGTATGAAGATTCCCAAAAGTTATAAAAGATTATCACACATCTAACAAAAAATCATTTCGCTTTAAGCCTCAACATACCAAATCACACAGCTGGAAAAGGACGCGCTCGTCTGCCAGAGGCAAGCAACCAAGTTTGCCTTTCCATTGACATTATATTCATCTTTGTTACTAACTGAAATAGTGCAAGTATATTCATGTGGCTACAAGTATATTCATGTAATTAAACAAAAATTTCCCTTGAATTTATGATGATAACATGTATTTTCATTCCTTTTACATGATTTGTCCCTCTCTTCTCACATGCATGAGTTGCTTTTTGCTTAGATAAAACTGAAAATATTTCAAAATGCAAATACTCACATCATTAAGTGTTCCACAAGTTTTTGTAAGAACTGCCACAAGTGAAGTCATTTTGACCTCCAGGCATTGCTGAAATGGTGGAAAATATCTACCCATAATTGTACAGATAAGAATTCGAATTAAAATATTAAATACTTTTTGCTTTAAGCAAAATGCTCTTACGATGACTACCAAACCTTATCAATAAGGAAACTAACATTTTTATATTGCTGTAAAAATTTGTCCGAACCCATTACTGGTACTCGACGTACTAACTGAGCAATTTCTCGTACAACAGCTTCATCACGCGGTAATTCGCCTCTACGAACTGCCTGAAGTTGTGATTCAATAAATCCTTATAGCAATTGTATCAGTAGGTTTTTTACCTTAGTTGTAACTGTAGATCTTTTTTCCTTCTAAAATTTACAGTGTAAAATGTGAATTAAACTTAGAGCAGCAGATTTATATCAACCGATAGTCAGTAAAGCAAAAGCTTCAGCAGTATGAAAAGATATTTTTTGAAAAAGATTCTCACGATTATCCCTCCATTTTCTATATCTTAGTCAAAATGAACATTCCTATATTTTAATTAGAACTATTCTGACTTACTATTAAATAATCGTAAATAAGTTCCAATCGTGATTGTAACATATTTATGGCACCCAATTGTCCTACAATTTGTTTATTTGTGGAAGATATTGTGTTTGCTGAAACAGTTGAAATCTGGGCAACATGTTCAATTCCAATACGTTCGGCTTGTTCACTGGCTAACGACCAGTTAATTGAATGCCACACTACTGAACTTGGACCGGTTGTTGATAAGCCGGTAGTGGGCACAGACTCATAGATTGCCACTGGTAACTGTAAATAGGCAATAGTTCACTAAGAGAAATTTTACAATTTCCTATAAACTTGAAATAGGGCAATAATTTTCATACATCAAGCTAGCTAAAAGCTAGTTTTGTCTTTGCGAAAATGCAGTTTATAAAACTCATACCTTATTGCCCGGTGGTGCTTTTGGATTAAGCTTCACTAGAATTGGTGATTCATGCATAATGGCGAATTGTTGGTGCACTTCCCAATCTGCCTGTGTTGGTGTTGTATCTCCAACAGTATACCAACCGACATAATCCAAATCACGAAAGACTTCTTGGTCTGAAAAATGAAGCATCAAAAAATTAAGGTCCGGTTAGTAAAAAATTCAAAGCTGAAGTATTTCGTTCGTAATGAATACAGGGCGCACAAAAGTACAGATGAGCACCTAAAGTACACTTGATCCACTGCTCATCATTTGATGTTACTGTACAAACATAAGCATTCGCAGATGAATTTCATGAAAAATAGTAAAGAGAAAAACATATAGATATCAACAACAAATGCAATCACCCTGTTTAAATTCGGATGAACAACGAATAGACGAGAATAAATAGAAGTAACTGAGTACGATAAAGAATTTTGATAGTAAAAAAATTCATGTCACCGAAAGAAAAAGAGCCTACACTGCTGTTCTCTTGTAGAAAGAAAGCCTGCGTCAATAACTGCATAGCCTTTTCCTTCATCACTCCATTTTACCTCAAAACTATTCATCATTTCAACGTGCCTTCCAGATTGCTTCCCAAGTATTGCACCAAAAACCTGCATCCAAAATAATGTTCAACATAATACCGTAAGGAAAAATGTCTGCATAAAATGCCAAACAAATATACTATTGAGATACAAAAAATAGTTTAAAATTTGACCTCGAAAGGTTTTCCATCATTTTGCTGTGCACTTATTCGAGTTACATGTTCCGATATATTCATTATAACCAATGGATGTAACGAAACAGTAATGGCACTAGTTAGCTCACTATGTCCAACTGATTTGTTATCGTCCTCTGACATCGGTACGTCGTCCATCACCAGCAAGTAATCGAGAACTTGAAAGAGACAGTTACAACAAAATTTGATTGATAATGAATTCAGAACTGAGTGAGAGAAACACATCAGTCCAAACTTTATCATCCCGATCAAGCTGTGGAAAAAGAGATTGGGATGAAACACTGGATCATGCTGCCCTCAATTTTGCGTAACTATGCTAAATCCTTCTCGTCATTATAAGATTCCCTTCATAATGAGAGAGAACATTGGGATGCAGGGTGAAATCGATTTCCTAACTCACCAAACAAACACGCTTCACAATGCCACCCAAACTACTCGAACAAACCATTTACCAACTACAGAAAACAAAATTAATGCGGCCCTGATCGACTAATGGTTATCTTAAACTTCAAGAAAATTTGAACTAGTGACAGTTTATATTTAAAACCTTGTGGAAACTGAGGTATTTTTATATGCAACATTTTATATATATATATCCAAATTTTTGAAGTTTATCTAGGCACTCTGACGAATTATATTTAATCCCTTTGAAAAACCTTCAAGACACACAAAATAAAGAGTTTCTATAGGACTGTTTTGATGAAGCTTTAAATTAATGTTGTATAAGAAAGAAATCCCTCATAGTGAAATAATCTGCTAGATTATGGCAAATAATATTTCCTTTTCAGCTTTTGATACTTGCACTAATATCTGATGATTTAACTTGGCATAATTCGATCATTGAATTCTCATTTATCGAACCGTTCTTTCCAGTTATTCTTATTAATCTCTGTTATTTATTATCTACTGTACTTATCTTTGTTGTCTCTTTCCACTTTTGATTATCTCTTTTAGTGTGTCTGAAAGTAGGCTTTAAAATTTTGGATTGTTTAGACGTTTTGAATCGTTTTTTTTTGACAAATTGCCACTCGTAAATCTTACGATCATTGCACTGACATTCGATATTGTTACGACCATTGCACTGACGAAAACAATTTCATTAAGTGGCATACTCATCCTATATTTTGCATTACTTTATGTGTCAAAAAAAATCTTTAGATTGGTCAATCATTGGTCATTTGAACTGTACCATTTTAAATTTAACCATCAAAAATTCAATAATTCTCTTTTTTAATTCAACCTATTAAGTATTATTTTACAGTAACGCTTCTTATTTCCCTTACTCAATTATTCTCATTTCCCGTACTTAATTATTCGATTGAATTAATTGTATAAATTAACTGTGATGGTGAACTGAATGCGCCTCGCAAATAGAATACGAATTCGCCCTCTTCTCTTTTTTTAACCTTCGATCTATCATTTGTTAAATTTGATGGATGGACGCAGTTACGTTTCATTATCTGTTTACGATTTGATGCCTCTGTTTTCTCCTTTTAGCAGCTACTTCTTACAACGTGCATTCAGTTCGTTCGTTTTCAATAAACCGAATCATTTGTTCATATAGCGCTAGCCAAGTTCAGAGCTTATCCCTAACTCCTGTTTTGAACCTAAGATTTACTTAATTAATATGAATAGATGAATCTTTCGGTTTTATATTTTCCGGATTATGGGCGATTCACAAAGATTTGCGATCATCCGATTGATCTAATGTTGCGCAGAATATTAGCATCTGTTATATATAGGAAAGAGAGCTTCTTATTTACAATATTCTCGTTTCTTCTTTTGTGTAAACTTAGCTTGGCTCGCGCTATCAACCAAATGGTCAATCAATCAATCAATCAATCAATTTATCTATTTCTATACATATATATATATATATAATGTTGGATAAAAAAAAAACAAAAATTAACAGACACATTTACATACATATACACATATACACATATATTGATACAAGCATATGGACGATAACCGGTTGTCTTTTCCTTTTTTCGTTATTTTTCTTTTGTTTTTTATCCA